TTGAACAAACCGGGTGTAGTGATCAACATTTATACTTGAAGTCCAATGACTCTACCATGCTTCCTCGATTTGGAATGCAGTTTGGAAATTCGGTGTTCAAGGTCCAACAATTCTCGTGGCAAGCACTCACACGTTGGCTCGTCCGTGTGATTTGCCTCGGTTCTACTAGGACTGAGGTATGCACAAGTTGCACTTGAGTTGTATTTTGTTTAATTTTACTTTAGTTAACGTCATGGTTGGACCAAGGCGTTTTCACGTGATACTCGAGACTCACAATTAGTCCATCGTCTACATAAATAGCTTCTCGCCACAGTTGAATATACAGCCACATCTGCCAACGGTTGGGTAAATTGGATGTTATGCAGACTACTTCTTGTAAATTGGCTAAAACAGTTTGAGCACTTTTTAGAACGTCGAATGTTGGACAGGACGCAGTAGGATTTGCTAGATATATTCTTTCTGTGATCACGCCATTGCGGTTAGCAGATAATCTGCGATATTACCGCCTTCTAACGCATATAGCAGACGGCATCTGCAGCACACACACTAAAGATAAGACATCACTGTTTGTATTGTACCTCTTACTTGTGTATCATTTCCCACCTGGTAACCGTATTGTTGGTATTTGTTTCCCTATTCCTATATCTGTCTCTAGCTGTTGTTGATGCTCACACTTCCGACTAAATCTATAGCTGCCACTTTTAGGTTAACGCTTCAATGTTAACTAACCAACGACAATTGTATTGGTTGCTTAGATAATTATAAGTGAGATCTTCCAGCATTAGTGGAATATGGTTGTCATTCTTACATTCAATTCATACTCATACGTTCATAGTGTTGTTGCTCATGAGCGTTATTGTTTCTCCATCCAGTTTGTGGTAGTCCATACACAAGTGTGAATAAATGTCCGTTCGCAACACTGCAGTATGGTAACTCGAATCAGGGGCCTTTGGTATGTCAACTGATATGACTTGTAAGCGCCACACTTCAACCTGACAGACTGATGGCATTTTCACGCACGCGACACCATTGTCTGCTAGCTCAATGTCTAAATGGGACTGGACTAAATTACAAGTCCCGCTAACATCTGTTCGTATCTCGATACATTCCTACTTGACAGATGGATCTTATTACATTTCTTCTCATGTGACGTCGTGACTTATTGCGGGTTACAATATGAGATCAATGTATCTCATCTTAAGTGTCTCTGTACGTCCCCTTGTACTGCTGCCGCCTTCAGGTAAACGCACTGAGATTCAAACAAGTCATCATGGTTGATTCCGGAACAGCGGTAACACGTTGTGACATCCAAATCGAAATGATTGGGTACAGGTAGCATTCTAGACACTGATGAATTGGTCATGCTAGCGGTCAGAACGAATGACCAGGAGAAATAAATAGTAACACACGACGGACTGCCTGGTGGTTCTACATCCCTGTTGATTCTCCCTCACCATGGATAAGAGACGATTACAACGGGCTCTAGTTTTACTTTACGACGGATAGCCTGCATTGAACATAATCGCACTACTTCCCTGCTGACTTGAAAAGTTGCTTACTCGATCTATGTCATTTTCTTTGTGTCATCCATATTCTATATCCCATATGTAAGTCGTGTTTGGGTACAGATTCATTCTAGAATGATTAACTAATGACGCGAAACTTGGTGCAACGTAATATGAGTATTGCACCTGCCGAGAACGGATGAGCCACATTTAACCTACTTTTATTGGGCATATATAACGCGGTTGTAGTAAGCGATTACTTCACTTGTTGCCCATTACAATGTTGTATTCATCATGGTCTATGCTACTCTTGCTACCTTCTCAAGTGGAGTATAGTATGGTGACATACCGAGACGGTGAGCTACGGTATCTTTCTCTTCGTATTATTATTATTCGGCCGCGATTCACATCATTATGTAAGCTCCATGGTATTGCTCACCAGACTATGCTATCTACATTCTGCTTTTTGAAATCGATTTGTAGATTACATAACCGTAGCTTGACCAGCTGCTCAATGCTAACTAGCAAGACGCTTACAGCGCCGGTGCATCGCAGAAGAGAAATTTTCCTGGAAATTCTGTGGCAAGTGAACAATCCCAACAATTAACCGACTAGCGATGATCACGATGTCTCCATTTCATATTCCACTCCGCAGGCTGGTGATGAGAGTGAGTATAGTTATAGTTTCAATTGCCCCTCAGCCATACTGAATTTATCGGGACTTATGAAAACACATGTACTAAACGGATGGAAGGCAGACGCGCAGAGACGCCTACCAGAAGTTGGATTGCACATGGACAATCTTTTGGATGGATTAAGTAAAAGGTTGAACCTAACGGGAATGGTATGTCAGTGTGTTACATCGGAAAGGAATCGAGGCATAGCGACAATCATTTTATGAGCACCAAATGGCTGCACCAGAGACGTATGATATAGATCGTTAGCAAATAGCTTATGGCCACAGTAGAGTACACGTCGGTAGGTACAAACGGTTGTTGGACATTTAGACAAAAATTGCGAACACTGTTTGGAAAGTCGCATGTTTGACAGTGGGCAACGGGACTTAGTTGATGTCACCTGTCAATACCAAAGCATGCGCATTAATCGTTCTGTGAGTAGGTGCACATACTTCAGGCAGCAGATGACCGAACCGGTCGGAGACACAGAGAGCCAGAAGTGGACAATGCATCGCATTCGCATGCTGTGTGATCATCTCCCCCATCAGCTACTCAAATCAGAATGTACATGTAGAGGGCGACACCTAAGTGTATACTATTTCACTGCACCAGTAATTTATTTATCCTTCTACCTAGCAGTTGCTTCACTATTGCTATATCCGGTTCCTTCAAATATGGATACCCATGATTTAAGGCGGTCACGTCTAAATGTTGAAGAAAACATCAACAGTTCGTATTCGGGAACTTTTTGTTATGCCTGCGAAAGTGGTCGTTAGGCTGACCTCTAAACCAAACCCATACACGGTTGTCATACCATTGATCATGATGTCTAATGTGTCTCTATGCAGTTTGTGACAGCCCACACTTAACTTTGGATAAACGCAGGTGCATATGTTGTATTCGAACTGCCATTGGATACGGATAGCGCCAATCATTGTATATATGTGTACCGAATGAATTCCCCGAGGACCTTCATACCGCTTTTGTACGGTAAATTTAGTGCAGGGAAACGGCACCCGAGCAAAGCGAAAATAACATTACCAGAACATGAAGAAGGTGAGTTTATGACAAACTCATGTTGATTTCAGGTGTCGCGAATCCAAGGCCAATCTGATCGATGCGAACTCCGTAGACTGATCATAAGGGCGGTTGCTCGGGTGCAGGAGAAGATACTACTGCACGCGGAATGGAAGCATGATGCGTACGCTCCCATTCCACTTGCTAATCCAGGCCAATAAGGCGGCGTATGTGGTACGTTTGCCTGCGTGTTGAGTAATCTTGCATTTCAGAAGTATATGTTGTTTGAGCTCCCCGGTGTGGATGCGCTTGATGTGAACGTTGACAAGGTGCCTGCTTGTCTATTACCCACTACCTCGTCCATACTGACTCCAGGAAACAGTTGGTCGTCGCTAGAGGGGACGGAGTGCAACGTCCTCGTGACGGTGCAAGGCTCAAAGAGTGGTTCCATCCTGTGTGGAACGGGCTACGATCCAGCCACCGCCATGTGTGTATCTGGTGTGCATGATTTCCCAATTAGGCCGGAATGCTTCTGTTCTGCTTGTTGAAGGAGTGTGGGTCGGCTCCGTTGATGAAACGTGGTTCCCATCCACATGCCTCCCGGTCTTATTCCTTCGGGTTTACACTGGATGTGGGGTGTGTGGTTAGAGCTGTGGGTGGTGCAGCCCAAGCCACCCATGGTCCCTCTGTAGGCGCAGGCGTCCTGTGGCTGTCCCCATGGAGGCCACAGTGACAGGCAAATCCGGATAAGGATGCCGCCATACCAGAAATACATGTGTACTTGCCAGTGTCGTTCATCGCGAAAACGCTGGATCATGCGCGGATGGCTGAGTTGGAGTCAAGGCACGGCAAGTCTTAAGGCAGATTCACCGGTCGATTGGAATGCAGATAGGTGTGAAAAATGGAAACAGCAGTGCCTCATAACCCGGCTACTACGGTAGAAATGTGATGGCGCTTCGATAGGTGTAACTGGCCTGAGCAAGAAGCGTGCAATAGGTGCTTAGTGTTATCCCAGCTAGTGATAAAAGGATGAATGACAACGTTCTTGTAGACTGAAAGTTACCTCCCAAAAACCTACTTTAGCAAAACAGGCATTCCTTACAAGTAAGTTATGCCAGCTCAGCAACAGAAAGTCTGTCCTGTCTTGATTTCACACTTTCATAAACAGTCACTTGTGCGCGCGTACTTCATTTCACTGACCGGTAGTTAGCCGGGGGGGGGGCCAGTGCACGGAGTGAAACTACCGGAAACTTTGCTAAGTGAATTTCTTTATTAGTTATCACAACACACTTTTCACAGCATGGCTCCCTAGGGTCCCCCACCAAACAATATTTTCATTCCAGGATCTGCCGGGGGACAAATGGCGCCCGTTGAGATGGGCTGAGGTAAATGACCGAAGGAGATCACACAGTCGAACGAAATCCGACCAGTGAGATGCACTTAACAGGAGAAACACTGAAGTGGTTACAATGTGAATTCAGTTCAGTATAGTTTATTCGTAGATGGAGGGATTTGATGTGATTTATTTAGATCATTGTAACTACCAATCCAGTAAAGCACAAGACGGTCATTTTGTTCCCCTGGGAAGCGTCAGTGATTGCATGACAGGAACTAAGAGAATAGTCTTCAAAAACCTAAGCGAGCCTTGTGATACAGCTATGCCCCTGTACACGTGAACCGGTGGTGAGCATGTGAGCACACTCCAAAGTAGCACGATCAAGCTCAAACCACATCTGCGGACACCCGCTGGAACAGTGGTTAGATTTGGTCGCAATAAATTAAGATGTGGAGCAAAACTAACCTGCTTGTTTAGCGCCGCGCCGAAGTAGCAGCTAATATACGGCGCCAGCCGCACAGGAAGATGATCGTAGTCCAAGGTATCCACTTCAGTTGAGTTCATTGAGACAGCAAAGTGAGTTGGAGGCAAACATTTTAAACATGTAGGGAGAGGTACTCGGACCTTGCAAACACGATGGAAGATCATTCCGCAGGAGGAGCATTGAAACCCCTGTCGAGACAGGCCTAAAAGGAATATGAATTGCCGATAGAGCAAACAGAAGGTTTGGCGTGCGCAGTAAGGAAGTAGAGGTGAAACCTTAAGGACTACCTCGTATGGAAGTAGATCCAAGGGCGAGACGGTTCCACGAATGGCCGCATTAGTTCTATGGAACATTTGAATGTTTCCTTTTCTCTTTAAAATCTGCTACAGCCCATGCAGTAGTTTAATGCATGCTCCCTACAATGGTTGTGATTGAGTAACATGATTTTGAAATCCTAAACATGTCTCGTAAAAACGAAGATGGACATTACTCGTATTAAGTGGAAAGCAAATCAATGACCAACTAAATCCGACGGAAGCGATTCAAGCGCGATAGAGGCTAAGTCGATTCTGGTCTAAAAGTGCAGTGACGTAACGACAACGAGCGGATCACGATTTAGCATATGAGAAAGTGAGGCCAATAACCATGGTTCACACATACTCGGCATCGGCAATTTAGATTGCGAAAGTGGAATAAGTCTCGTCTCGGGATGAGATGGATTGTGCGATATTGCATTTTATAATCAAACGTGTAGCGCTGAAAGCAGTAGAATAAATTGAACGAATAGAATGAGGGAAGTCGATGACTTTGCAGCTTCGTTGATGTTTGCCAAAGTTAGAGAGGAGTAAATATGCGAGTTTAGCGGAACAGACCTATCAACGCAGAAACTACTGTGCTGATGATAAGTGGCAACCAAGGGTGTCGTCACAAAACTTAACACTCTCAGTTCTAATCGTTGACTTGTTAAAAATAGAAGAGAAGCAATGTTTATATATTTGCAACGGTCTACGAATAGACATAGAGCCATTAGAAACCATGTAACGCAAAGAAAAGTAGAGATAAAGTAAGAGAAAACAAAACACCACACGGAGGAGTCCATCGTTTCATTACGTAGAAATATGGGTTCGATCGGACTAACTCATCGCCTTGTAGACGGTAGGATTAAGTGAGATTGAGTTGAAAGTAGTTCAGCAGTGCAGTCTGATAGCTAGTTCGATGTAACCGACTGACATCGCGGCAGATTTGACGACAGCAGGAGCGCGGCCGTACCGTGTTTACATGACTAGGAGTGTACAACTCGGCTGAATATCTCCCAAAGATCGATCGATCTGTGCCCCCCCCGTTACGGTGCCGCCACTTCATCGGGGTCCAGAAGGCACTTGGTACCCATATGTCGTATGCTCTTCTGAAGTGCTGTTTGGTGATTTGGGACCGGCCACCCAATAAACAGTACGCATACAGTTGCATGTACGCGCACTGGATGCAATTTGATTGCGGTGCAAAGTAATTTGAGTGATCTAGGGAGGAACAGGGTTACTTTAAAGATGAATCTGATTACGTTACAGATATAATCAACCGATAGAAGACATAGAGGTGTTATCACAGGGTTAAATCATCAGGCTCCTCTCGATACACACACTGGCCGCGGATAATGAATAACAACTTTACCTCACGGTCCCGACATCGGGAGCTGCAGGGATGAGGTCGGTTTCTGCTACGAAGTAGTAAGAAGCTGGAAACAAAACAGCTTACAGACGATGTTTCCCTGAATTTATCGAGCTTGCTTTGGAGGTCAAAGTGAAATCGTTCTGGAATGTGACAATTATGCCGGCTATCGTAGGCATTCAAGACATAATCACACTCCTGAGTGTAAGTGCGATTACCCAGTTAAACAGCCACCGGTGTTCGACGCATATTTTTGCTAATAGGGTAAGTAAGGAATTATGCTAAAATCTAAGACCCTTATCCAGCTCTTATGAACTACAAAATACGATTACGTGGGAAGATAATTTTTACATTGTTAGTCTCCATTAACAATGTCTATTTCCCAAGTCCCCTCAAGTAACTTCGGAGGGTTAGTTTACTAAATACAACTGCTTACCACAAGTACACTGTTACTCTTGGAGTACCCGTTGTGTATCTGGACTGCGACAAGCAATCTCAATTGAGATCATCCCTTAATTTGAAGCAAACCTATGCCATTGCGATCACTGGGACTGTAGCCGAAATGGAGAGTTTCAGAGCTGCTCTCTTCCAACAGTGCAGTGTTGAGAGACAGAACAGCTCGAAAACTCTCTACTGACCATGTGAAAGTATGGTGACAGGTGGTAGGCACAGTTCGGTTCAGTACAGCTAAATAACCGTGATCAGGGTAATGAAATGTAGTGGATCCGGTTGTCACGACTCCACTCAAGAAAACGATATCGAGAGCGATGAAGAAAATGAGACAGAGCTAAAAACGAAGAAGAAAAATAAGTAAAATCGATTTGGATGGAACGGTAACAGATAGGTGAGAGAAGTCAAATGCGGTAGTACCATTGCTGATGAAAAGTTCCCATCGAAACTTTTAGCGAAGTTAGGCGCAAACCAAGGCAAAACTCACAAGTAGTACCGCATTGCTAGAGTAGGGAGAAAAACATTATATGTCAACCTACCCAGCAGCGGTAACCTGCACACTGCACAGGCAACTTCTTGAAGAAAGGAGCAAATCTTTAAGTCGTGCTCTTCGTTAGTTGCTGTTGTTTCGACGCTTCGGCTCGTCACATCTGGCACATTCGTTGCAGAGTCGTCGTCACCGGCGCATGGCTGAAGACCGGCAAGAACCTGTAAAATGTATGCGCAAGAGTGTGGTTATGAAAAAGTAGGGCTCACAGGCCTTAGGGAAGCATATATATATATATATATATATATATATATATATATATATATATATATATATATATATATAAGCTCATCTATGAAAAATTTCCCTGGAAATTCTGTCAAGTGAACAATCCCGACAATTAACCGACTACCGATTGTCATGATATCGATTATTCATGTTCAGCTCCACAGGCTAGTGATGAGAGTGAGCATAATTATAATTCCAGTTGTCCCTCAGCCATACTGAATTTACCGGGGCTTATGAAAACACACGTACTAACCGGATGGAAGGCAGACGTGCAGAGGCGCCTACCAGAATTTGCATCGCACATGGCCAATCTTTTGGATGGATTAAGTAAAAGGTTGAACCTCATGGGAATGGTATATCAGTGTGTTATTACATAACATAGGAAATGAATCGGCGCATAGCGAGAGTGGTTTAATGAGCACCGAATAGCTGCACCCGAAAGGTACGATACAGACCGTTGGCAAATAGCTTATGGCCACAGTAGAGGGCAGATCGGTAAGTATAAACGGTTGAGTAGTTGGACATTTATACAAAAATTGCGAACACTGTTTGGAAAGTCGCATGTTTGACAGTGGGCAACAGGACTTAGTTGATGTCACCTGTCAATACCAAAGGGTGCGCATCAATCGTTCTTTGAGTAGGTGCACATACCTCGGGCAGCACATGACCGAAACGGTCAGAGACACAGAGAGCCAGAAGTGGACACTGCATCGCATTCGCATGCTGTGTGATCATCTCCCCCATCAGTTAGTCAAACCAGACGGTACATGTAGAGGGCAACACCTAAGTGCACACTCTTTCACTGTACCAGTAGTCTAGTCATCATTCTACCTAGCAGTTGCTTCACTATTGCTACATCGGGTTCCTTCAAATATGAATGCCAACGATTTAAGACTGTCACATATAAATGTTGAAGAAAACGTCAACAGTTCATCTTGGGTAGTTATTCTCATGCCTGCAAAAGTGGTTGTTAGGCTGATCTCCAAACCAAACCCATACACGCTTGCTTTACCATTGATCATGATGTCTAATGTGTCTCTATCCAGTTTGTGACAGCTCACACTTAAGTTCGGATAAACGCATGTACATGTGTTGTATTCGAACTGCCATTGCACACGGATGACGCCAATCTATGTATATATGTATACCGAATGAATTCGAGGAGGATACTCATACCGCTTTTGTACGGTCTACTTAGTGCAGTAAAACGGTATTCGACCAAACCGAAAATAACATTACCAGAACATGAAGAAGGTGAGTTTATGACAAATGTTGATTTCAGGTGTTGCGAATCCAAAGCAAATTTGATCGATGAGAACTCCGTAGACTGATCATAAGGGCGGTTTCTCAGGTGCTGGAGAAGACCCAATTGCATGCGGAATAGAAGCATCATGAGTATGTTCCCATTCAATTTACTAATCCAGACCAATAAGGCGGCGTATGTGGTACGTTTGCCTGCGTGCTGAGTAATCTTGCATTTCAAAAGTAGATGTTACTTGAGCTCTTCGGTGTGGATGCGCCTAATATGAATGTTGACAAGGTGCCTACATGTCTATTACCCACTACATCTTAAATACTGACTCCAGGAGGCAGTTGGTCGTTGTTAGTGGGGACGGAGTGCACCATCCTCGTGACGGTGCAAGGCCCAAAGAGTGGTTCCATCCTGTGTGGAACGGGCTACGGTCCAGCCACCGCCATGTGTATGTCTGGTGTGCATGATTTCCCAATTAGGCCGGAATGCTTCTGTTCTGCTTGTTGAAGGAGTGTGGGCCGGCTTCGTTGATGAAACGTGGCTCCCATCCACATGCCTCGCGGTCTTTTTCCTTCGGGTTTACACTGGATATGGGGTATGTGGTTGGAGCTGTGGGTGGTGCAGCGCAAGCCACCCATGGTCCCCTTTGTAGGCGCAGGCGTCCTGTGACTGTCCCCATGGATGTCACAGTGACAGGCAAATCCGGATACGGACGCCGCCATATCATGTATATATATGTATATATATATATATATATATATATATTGAAAGCCATTTTCAGTTTAAAATAGTCTTTCCTCAAATTAAAGCGGACGATTTTCGAACCACCTAAGACATCTTTCAAATCGAAAACACGGTTTAAACAAGACAATGAGAAGGCAAGCACTGCAAGATGGCACTATTTCGTGTTATCTGATCAGGTGCAAACTAACAACATAAACGGATCAAATGAAAGTAGAAAAATAGCGTTTTGAATTGTCAGAAAAGAAAGCACAGTCATAAAATGACAGATGGATGAGCTGGGGCGAAGGTTATGAACCCAAAAGGAGCTTTAGGGCTACTGTCAGTTACTTCTGCACACAAAGAGTAGGACGGCTCCGATTAAGGGTCACAGCCTCGGTAAACTTCAGCACAGTGGCGTTGTCGTTTCAGTAGACAACCGTAAAAGTTGATGTACTGTACAGATTAGGTGTATGGCGATGGATGACGCCGACAGTTTGCCTGCTTGCTGCGCCGTCATCTTGGCAATTCGCTTCGGAAAATGCTCTCTAATCCGTTTCCTAAGATAATGATCTGTTTTGCCAATGTAACTGCTTCCGCAGCTACAGACGGAGTGAGTCGAAGCGGAGATCGGTTGACTAGGCTTGGCTGAGACATCGGCAGCTTTTGGTTGTCGAAATACGACAGAGGTTGGCGGCGTCGAATATACGGCGAATAGCTGGTGTTCAAGGGTAACTGTAAATAGACGAGCATTCTACGGCAAACATTAGCACAATATCAACAAGGAAGAAAACAACAACGTTATAGTCAGTCGATGAAGTGATATCCCACTGCTGCCGTCGTCTAGCTCACCACGTTACTGAGGACGTTATCTGTGCAGTCCTACTGGGTCACCCTTCAGACGCACAGAGTCTAGTCCAGCGTTACGTTGGTCATCAGGCGCTTCGCCAATGTTGTGATCATTGAAAACAGCTTTACACCAGGTTAATAATCATTAATAACTCGGTTCTTTCAGATTCTACCGGAGTGGAAGTTCTACCACATGATCGACCGACAAATCTGGAGTATGGTGATAACAGAGCTCCCATGGGTCTGATGCAGTAACTAGACAAACAACACTGAACAGACTGATGCACAGCGCTGCACGCTTCGGCATGTGCTTCGCACTTTGAAGGTGTCAAGTATTGTTGCAGTACTGGTGACGCAGCCGGCGTGCCTCGGTCGCATGTTTTGTCTTTCTTTCTTATGTATTGCGGCAAAATAGCTGTGTTTTCCACTTCTAGCTACCGGGTATAATGATGCTGTACTGGACCGACACACCTCCGGTTCTAGCTAGCACCGAACAGCCACTGGAAGTGGTGGATCGGTTCACTTACCTTGGTAGCGGTGTCACTCCTGGTGGTCACATCAGTGAAAAGATTAGTTCGCGTATCAGCAAGGCCAGAGGTTCAACAATCTATGTATAAGGAGGTATATCATGTGTTAGTGAAAGTCAGGGGGTTCAACACTGGGATAAGGCCGGCAATATTGTATGGATCAGAGACCTGGCCAGTTCATAGTGAGGACATTAAATGCTTGACAGTTTTTGACCACAGGTGCTTGAGGAGTATTGCTCACGTCTAGTGGGAACACTGGGTGAGCAATGCGGAAGTCCGTCAGTTTGTTTTTCGCTAGAAGCCTTCTGGGGTCGTACTCGTGTGTTTGCTGTGTCCTAATTGCTTAGGTTGGCTAGGCCATGTCCCCCGTATGGTCGTTCACCGAATTCCTTGGCGTGCATTATACGCGGTGACTGCACCAAGCTGGGCGAAACCGCGAGTTGGCCACTCCATGACGTGGCATAGAAGCTTGAAGAAATTGACTGAGACAGTTGGACAGGCTGTTGCGTGCTGTCTTCGTGGATGGGGGCCTAGGGATGGTCCACACCAATGATTGGCGGTCATTTCACACATAACGCAGTCAGCGGCGTCCCTGCATTCGATTTCGTGCATTTGGTGGTTAATGCTTGCTTTATCATGTTTGATCTAGCACATCTCCTTCCTGCTTCCATTTTCTCTACATGCTATTTGCATACAACCTCACTAGCTTGCCGCTGTTATTTACTGGTATTCTTGTGATGTGAGTCATGGCAATTGGATCCACCGGAGTTTGGCGCTCGGATCAGTTGTTCAACTTCACTGAACTGAACTGATACCAGCTTAAGCATGTAAAGGTGTGGTCAGAGAAGATTCCACTGATGAGATACGTCCAACACCCTCCTCAGATTGTCTGGTATGTGGATTCTGGCACTGTACATGATCAACAATGGATCGTTCAACTCCATTCTGCGCCGCAAGCGAACAATGAGAAGTTGTCACCATTGCGGGCGTCATCGCTGACAATCTTGGAATGAACTATGCCTTGGTTACTGATCACAACGGTTAACGTCCCTATGCAGCCGCTTGCTGTGGGCAATATGACGATCGCACGAATTCCTCCTCTTAAGCGGGCCTGTCCGTTGCAGTTGTAGGTTGAATCCACTCACGTCGATAAAAATGCGTTCCCCTTGTCTGTCTTGCGTTGAGAAGTCAACAGCGCAGGCTTGCAACTTGCGATCATCACCCTGTCAATCTGGCGGTAGCACTTTTTCAGCGTGACTTTTGGCTTTCTAAGGGCGCTGAAAATCGAGGACACAGTAAAAAGGACTTCATATTCTTTCGATCGTCGTTCCTTCGCGCAACCACACAGGTTGAAGCACATATCGGCATGTTAGCAGGAACTGATGGGTGAGTTAAACAGTGTAAAGAGAATCCGAAACAACTCAATCTAACCGAACGTCCATTAACATCGGTGCTGGTCGATCCTAACACGGCACTGTATGACCGGATTCGTCCTATTTTTGCTCATTAGGTGGAAGCAGTAGCAGCTGAGAACGGAACTAAGGACTTGGTAACAGTGCGCAGTCCCTCTGGTCTGACTGAAAAC